AAGGAAGGAAGGAAGGAAGGAAGGAAGGAAGGAAGGAAGGAAGGAAGGAAGGAAGGAAGGAAAGAAGAGCTGTCTGCTAATAGTACCAGGCTGGCAGTCTTGTAGAATTTCTAAAAGAAATTCCTTTAGGGGACAATTTTAATGTAATTAAGTTGGTCCAGACCACAAGAAGGGAAGAAAAAGTTCACATATTTGAGAAAAAGATAATTTATTAAAATAAAGTTTAGGTCAAATTTATTCAGAGAAAATGAAGAACTGCATTAAGAGATAATCATATTCAAGTTGATTTTATTCCAGGAATGCAAACATGTTTCAATATTAGAAAAATCTATTAATATAATTCATAAGAGTAAAATATTAAAAGACAAAACCATATGATTATAGTTGCTAGAATGGCATTTAATAAAATTTTAAATGCGTTTTTGTTAAAAACAATTTTTGAATGATGTAGTCATAGATGTATATTTTAACATGATTGAGAAATACTATTAAAAAGAATAAGTCAGGATTTTAAAAATATAATACATAACTGAACTAATTTAAAAACTGCAATAAGTACAGATGAATAGCCATATGATTGGTGAAAAAGTATGAAAATTAATCTAAATATTTTTGGGGAAGCCATATGAGAAAAATAAAATCATACACCTATATCATTCTTTATACCCAGAAAAATTCCAAATGAATTAAAAATCTTCATGTAGAATATAAACCCCTAAAAATATTTGAAGAATATGTGGGATTTTTTAAATTCTTAAGTATTGAAAATATTTTATGTATTTATTCATTTATTTACTTACTTACTTTGTAGTACTGGGTATCAAACTCAGGACCTTGTGCTTGCGAGGAAGGTGCTTCTGCCACTGAGCTAGCTCCTCGGTCCAGAGTATTGGATATATTTTAAAGCACGGCACAAAATCCAGAAGCAATAGGAAAATAATGTACATGAATGTACCAGAGATGCAACAGAGTTCTAAAGACAGCCAAATCACAGCTGAACAAATGGAGAAAGTATTCAAAGCTCTGATCAAAGGGTCATGCAAAGAAGCAGAGGTGGTGGCGAAGATTCCACTGGAAGCCACGTAGAGGACAGCAGCGGTCGCCAGGCGGTCACATCTGAGAAGGGCCACAGTTCCCCTCCCAGATAAAACAAGCTGCAGCCTGGCTTAGCCTGAGAGAACCACAATTCTAAGCCGCCCTCAGTGATACTCATCTGTCATTCAAGTCGCCAAACATAACAGAATTTAAATCTTGCCCCAGCTAAAAAGTCCTCCCCAACATATCCTTGCTGGGAATGTTTCCCGGCATACACAAAACACTGGAAACTGAAAAGGGCATCAACAGGAAGCCAGGCATTTAGGTAATGGAACGTGTGGCACCGTCTACAAGCAGAATGTAGGGCTCTGCCTTCACCACGCCTCTTACTATCCTTGGGGCAAACACACGTGCATGTGTGGTAGACGTAATGTGAACAATTACGTCTACACACCAATTACATACTTAGAAAACCGCGGGGATCCTCAGAAACTAGTTAGCAAATGGAATCCATTAATCATGGCTCCTTCACAGGTTGTAATGGCTGATACTTTGTGTCAGCTTGAGAAGTTCAGAAGTTTAAGTGACTCAGCAGGGACCAGAGTCCTCAGTTTGGGAACATCCTGAGCCTGTGCAGGAGGAGGGCAGGGAGCGGGGTGAGCGCTGCACCTGCCCTCAGGGTGGGAGCCTAAATACAAGGCAAGGGAAGAAAAGAGGCTGGCTCTCCCCCTTTTGCTCTTGTGTTTGCTGCCTTCTGCAGCCTCGGTGCCCTGTGCCACATGCCACTCTGCCTTAAAGCCATCTGCTCCAGATGGAAGCCTCTACAAACTGCGAGCTAAACAAAACTTTCCTCCCTCAATTTGGAGTGTTGGGTACTGTGTCTCATCAGTGACAGTAAGTAAGTGACACAGAGGGGCAGTCATGGTTTATGACATACATTTATTGATATGTTTGGATTTTAAAGTAAGTGTGTACACTTGAACAGTACATTCATTTAAAGTCATAATGAAAAAAATAAAGTGGTCTTTCATTTATAATCATTTTCATGTAATCAGCTCTGGTCTCTATAAACTATATATCAGATATAAAGTTTTTTGGTTTGCTTTTTTATCTTTACTTTTAAAATATATATATTTAGTGCAGGGTCTCACTACACAGCTCCGACTCCTAGTGATCCTCCTGTTTTCGGCCTCCCAAGCACTGGGATTACAGGTGTACGTCACCATGCCAGTCTCAATTGTCATCTCAGCGCACCCCAGGGGAGGAGCCGGCACTGCATGCTGGGGATTGAACCCAGTCCCTGAGCCTGCCTAAGCAGGCGCTTTAGTCCGCTGAGCTACCTGCCAGCCCTGTCTTTGCTTTGGTGATGGTAGTTGTTGTTTTATTTTTTACCTTTTTTAAAAAAATTGTGTCCAACTACCTTTCTTTGTATTGATGCTTCAGTGGAAGGCTTAAGTCCACCTGAGAGGCAAATCAGAGAAAAACTGAGTGCTGTCAAGAAGACCAAGCAAGGCGTACAGGATGGGAGGCAAGAGGCTAGGAGCGTGGGGTGGGGGAGAAAGAGAACGGGATCTGCTGTCCAGCTGCACCTCCAGCCCAGGGTATTGCCCAGTGACTTGAACAACACGTTAGCCATATTCAAGGTTTAAGTTGACTTTTAGACAAGATGAGAGTTGCCGATTGTCTTTTGACACTGCAAGCCTTGCCATCCATATCTTACCAGCCAACAAAATCCCTGTTGACATTCTTTGCCTTTCAGTTTAATTACATTTCAGATTATAATGATTCCATTTAGAAATGCCATGTGTCCTCAAATAAGCCCCCAAAACCCACCTCATGTAAATTTTAGAGCCAAGATTTATGAAATCATATTGTCCAGGTGTTTTATTGCATTACCTTGAAATTGCATTGTTTGCTAGTGTAGATTATCTGTTTATTCTTAAGTTATTTCATTACGTTTGGATATGAAAAATAACACTAGCTTTCTCCATACGGGTCACCAGGCTGGTGTGGCTGATGTGTTGTTTTCATACATTTTTATGATGTTCCTATAGTAAACATAATTTAATAAAGCCAAAGCACACTAAATAAATAATTGCATCTAGAAAAGCAATAAAAACAAATAAAATTAGTACTTTCATAAGTAGAAAAGGTACTTCAATTACTGCTACAAGCAACAACCCACCATAAAATGTGTACAATCATTTCCCTTATGCATATTTCTGGAATGTAATAATTTGATTGAAGATATGAAGCTGCATAGAGGAGGCTCGGGGTGCGAAGTGTACACAGCTTCCAACAGGAGATGCCTAATGTCAGCCCTGGGCATCTTTAAAGGACCTACTCTTTCTCTGGCAGGCACCTTTTGGCTAGAGTCATCAAACATGAGCTTAATTACATTGCCTAGCTTGTTTAACTGGAAATAAATTCCTAATGGCCAATGAATGCTTTTTACTACTTTTCACCAAACTGCACTGATGTTCTGGTGGAAGGCTGAGGTACCACTGAGAAGCAGTTTAGACAGTTTTTGGCACACCAGGAGGGCCACTAAGCCCTGTGATAAACCAGGAGCTGGAAGCAGGGCACAGTGGCTGAAGCAGTCGGTGTGAGGGGCAAAGCTAAGGAGGGACCTGAGAAGTCTTACATTTCAGCCCAGGAAAGTTCATCACCATATCAACCAGACTAACTCGACTGAGTGTGAAGCTCGGAAATTGCTCCCAGTGTCCATGGCAGTCCTAGAGCTGGAGAGTGGTGTATAGGACTCTGAATTCATGCCAGGAAGTCCTGGTTGTGCCTTGTGAGTTGCTGGCACTCAAGAGGGGCTCTTCAGCTTCTTCTTTCTCTCATGAGTCAGCATGG